AAAGAAGGAAGAAGGAAAGAGGAGAAAGAAAGAAAGAAGAAAAATCAGAAAGAAGAACAAAGAAGAACAAAGAAGAACAAAGAAGGAAGAGGGAAAGAGGAGAAAGAGAGAAAGACTAACAAAGAAGAAGAAAGAAGAAAGAGAAATACCAAAGGGGGAGGAGCAGGAGGAAGAAGAAGAAGAAGAAGAAGAAGAAGAAGAAGAAGAAGAAGAAGAAGAAGAAGAAGAAGAAGAAGAAGAAGAGCAGCAGTTATGCCTCTTTGTTCCATAGGCAGCAGACGAAGAAGAAGAAGAACAAGGAGAGTGGGGTTATGACTCTTTGTTTCTTACGCCAGCAACTTAGGAAGGACTGAGTTCCAGGATGGTGCTATGGTGGCGATTCCTGTGTACATGAATAGAATTTTTGTGTATTTTGACAGGGTAGTTATGAAAAGCCTCAAGAACAAGGAGAATAATAGAGAGCAGGTATTCATATTCGTTCCGAATGCCTGGGAAAGAAGACACAGGCACTTCGAGAAACTCGATTCGGGAAAAGCCTCAAGAAATGCTTTTCGTTTTCTAGCTGTTCCTTTCCGTGCCATTGCAAAACTGCCCACCTTAAAAAGTACTACCATATACTGCACATCACAATAGTTGTGATCAACACACTTCTTCCTTCCCTGAGAATGGGTCCCTCCCTGTCTCAGAGGAGATAACAGTTCCAAGTGCCGGAAGTCTCTGAGAATGGGTCCATCCCTGATTCAGAGAAGAAGCTTGCTCCTTGACTGGCCATCCACACAGACAACATGCAAGGTTGCACAGGGGACTCCAAAGTGGTGGTCCCCGCCAAGCTGCATGCCCTGAGGCCACCTCCCTTGCCTTCCTCCTACGTCTTTGACTCGTATTTGACTTTTCACTGCCTTTACTTCTGGCAGGCCTTTGACTTGTGATTGTGGACCTGGTTTCCAAGGACGTGCATTATTCTGTACCCCTGGTGCTTGAGGAAAGGCCTGCCATCGTGTGCCCGGTCCCCAAGGAGGTCTGGGACATGTGCACCTGATTCCCGCGGAAGTCTGTGAAACTGTGCCTGGTTCCCGGCTAGGTCTGCGACTGCGTTCCTGGTCCTGACGCCGGTGATTGTGCACTGAGGCCCGGGTTCACCTGGTCTGTGGTTCTGCACCAGGTTGACGAGGTCTAGTGGAGGGTTCACACCTGTGCTATCTCCCGGTTCAAATAGTCGAGGAACATGCGCTTGGCGCTGATTGTGTCGGTAGGAGGAGGGCGCCCCGTCAGTGCCGTTTGCGACGTAAGCTTCAAGAATGTCCGCCGATGGCGTCGTAGTTCTGGCAGTCCCACAGGACGGTGGAGATTCACAGGCGGCAGACCCTGCCCCACATCAACTTTCCGCATCCCCACGTCACCGCCTCCAAGACCACCCACCTCTCCCTGTTGCGCACTGATCAGCGCGATGATGACTTCCTGAGTGGCCTTGTCCATCTCATACAAAACATTTGTCTCCGACAACCGAACAGTTTGCGTGGCAATGGTTGGTTGCAAATTTCTAGGTCCTTTTGCCACAGCAGTGGCTGCACCCCTCAATCCCTGCGCAAGGGAGGCCACCTGAGCAATCAACTCCATCATCTCCGAATGATCCTCGGCATCCGGACGGATGGTGAACAGTGGCGAGTCCCAGCGGTTACGCCCATCAGGTCTCTCGAAACGCCGCACAAGATCGTCGAAGATTTCATCGTGGTAGCTTGAAGCTCCTCCTCCTCCTCCTCCTCCTACTCCTCCTCCTCCTCCTGATCCACCTCCTCCTTCAGGAACAGCAGCTGCTCGTTCCTTGTTCCATCGACGTGCGGTGTCAATCGGCGTGTCACAGTGGACCATGCAGTATCTGGTCCCTGCCGCGCGTGCAAGACACCATAGTTCATACCTGCGAACCAGAAGTACAGCCAGCCAGCCAGCCATCGGCGTCAGAGGGAAACGTGCCGAAGGTGGCTCGAGAAGCAAGAGCAAAAAGGGGGTTGGAGGTTAAAGTGAGCTCCCGCTTGGAGGCGCCAACTACACCACAGATGTGAAATCCACCTACAGTCCCCCCAAGTGGCACACCAATTAGGCCAAAGCGGCTGACAAGGTAAATGTGGCCAAGCTGGAGCACACTCTAGGCCATAATCATGGTGGCTTCAGAAGCGGGAGCAAAACGGAGCTTGGAGGTTCGATTGAGCTCCCATCTACAGGCACTCACTTCACCACAGCTAACAGATCCACCGACAGTCCCAATTGGGACAAAGCAATTGGTCCCACTGGAACAATCCCAGAGGGTCCTCCTGGAGCTCCCTCTTCCAAGGTTCCAGGCACAAAACCCAATTGGCCCCACAGACCAGTGGACAACATGAATGCTGCCTTGGCCTCTAACAACGGGTTTCCAGCCGCTTCCCCCAGAGAGAAGGGCCTCGATTGGGTCCCAAATGAACTAAGAGCAGGGCAGCCTGCTGGCCTTAAATCGACAGATCCAGATTAGATTCCGGAATATTCACTGAACCAAGAGCAAGTCAGCAAACTCGGACCAGGTCAGCCCAGTGGCCTTGAAGCACCAGTACACCACGTATCAGCCCGCGGGTGTCAGCATGAAACCCGCACCACTTCGGAGGCCGCCGGTTTTTGTTTTCAACGGCGGGCCTGGCCGTGCAGTGCGCCTCTGAGTTTTGCTTGTGGCGACAAAAACTTTCTGCAAGGCTGGGGCCGTGTACTAGCGGTTTAAACCAGCAGTACACCCGGGCCTGGAGGCACCTTACTGCGCACCAAGCTTTTCCAAACCGCCACCGGCGCACTTTCTTTCTTTCTTGGCCGGCGCCGCCAGCCATTGCTGTCCGGTACGCCGAGCCGCCAAAAATTTTGTAGGCGACGAGTTGCACTTTCAGCAAGGCTGGGGCGATGTGCTGGTGGTTTAAATCTACAGATTCAGATAAGATTAGCTCCGTGGGTAGAGCACCGGTTGGAAATGCAAATTTTGTGACTTCAGGTTGCGGGTTCAAATCCCTGCAGCCTCGCACATGGACACTGGCGGGCGTTGACGGACGCACAGCTGTACGCCCACTAACCCCTTGGGTTGGTGCACGGGGGTAAGGATTACGGACACTGCCTGCACCGCCAGAGGGATTTAGTCCAGGATTGTTGTATGTCAGGGCTTGGGGCTTGACTATGAGTGAGTTGCCTGAGGACGTTGGCCATAGGTTGGGTTGTTCTCATGATCTTCCCAGTGCGCATACCGCACATTGCGCATATGGTTGAGCACAATCGATACATGATGGTGAGCATGCGTTCATCTGGCTTGGGGCTTTGTGGGGGGTTGGTTTGTTGCACAGATAGGCCTATCATACACAGAATTCCAAAACTCTCTTACACAGATGCAGCCTACGGGCACACACATAGCCCGCGGGCACATACATAGCTTACCGGCACACACACACAGCCTACAGGCACACATACATCACCTATGGGCACATACACAGCCTACATGGGGTGGGGTTTTCCGATTGGCTGGGTCGGTCACTGGCAGTCTAACCGGGAAGTATTGAGCAGATGGGGAGGGGATATTTTGAATCGCTAGGTCAGTCACTGGTGTTATGACCGGAACACCTTGCTTGACAACAGACTGGTGCTGCGGTCTCCGCATCACCATCCAGCAAATCTCAGTACGCCCAACCGACAGCATCTTTTTTTTTTTAATTTATTTTTATTATTTTTCTTTTTTTCTTTCTTTCTTTCTTTTTTTTTTTTCAGGCTAATTCTTTTGAAGTCCAACCAATTCAATTACCTACTAGGCTACCAGTTGTCCGATGGCAGGACGCCCTGGTCAGACAGTCAGGGGGGATCCGGGACATCCGGGCCCGAACAACTCCATTTTCGGCAGTTTAAAGCACGAAAAAAATAAAAAAAAATGGGGGTGTCTTTAATTTTACTTTTTATTTTAAATTTGATCAAGAATGTCGGTGCGACCCCAAGGCAAAAGTTGTTCAGTTAATTTTCTCCATAACAAAGTTTTTTTTTTTGGGGGGGGGGGGTGCATTCGGGCACGGACAGACTGCCCCGGAAGGACGTCCGACGTCCGACTGATTGTCCAACCGGACAATCCCCGAACGGTCAGGGCGGTCCCGGACGTCCGGCCCGGTAACATAGAATGTTAGCCAATTTCCTTTTCCTGAGAGATTATTATAATGCTAGCCAATTTCCTGAGAGATTATTATAATGTTAGCCAATTTCCTTTTCCTGAGAGATTATATAAAACCTTTCTCGGCCTTTTGGCGAAGATCAAGTGTAGTATCTGTTCTGATCAGTTTAATATCTGATCCGTGCGTGGTCCATCGGGCCACATGATATTAAATTTTTAATAACAAATATATATATATCGTCAAATAGAACTGCCCGGTAAACCGTAGGCAGAGAGGGAGAAGAGGACAACAAACGAGGGGCTGTGACAAATTGTTTCGTCGGAGTTTCACCGACTCATCAGGAGGCTGAACCCTATATATATATATATACACATAGAGAGAGAGAGAGAGAGTTAGTTATCTAGGAATCTTACGAGTATAGGATGTGCAGTGGTTTTGGACTGGAACTACCTACTACCGTCTTCCCCCGAACGTAACGCACCCTGATCATGAATGTATAGAAGCTATCTTTGGTACAGGCAAAATGAGGGTGCGTTATGTTGGGGGGAAGACGTTAGTGCTGCAGAGGGGGATTGACCTGACCGCTCCTGTCCTGGGACTCAAAAGAGTTGAAAGAAGAAGCGGTGGGGGGGGGGGGGGGGCTGTGCTTTTGGATAAAACCCAAAAGGGGGAGAGGGCAGGCCCAAAGAGATATCTGTTCTCATTGAAATCGAAAATGATAAAATGATGGAGTTGAGGAAATCAGCCCAGGCGTGACCCAAGGGCAAAAAAAAAAAAAAAAGGAGAAAAAAAAAGGAGAAAAAAAAAAGGGAGAAAAAAAAAGAGATATCTGGTTCTGAGCAGTGCCTGTGGAGAAAGTCCGCCTCGAGACTGTGTCTGTGATGGAGAGGATCACCTATCGCTGCGTGTGAAGCAAGCAAGATGTCTTGTCTTGTCCTGTTGGAGGCAAGCATTCCTTATGGTCCAAAAAGTAGAGAGAATCGCGGCACTCACCATTTCAGAAATGCACAGCCTTGTGTCTGAAGACTCTGATCTTGAGATATATGTCAAAATGCCCCTTGTTTTTTTTGGGGGGGGATAATTTGCAAAATACCCCCATAAGTTGAGATATATGTCAAAATGCCCCTAAAAGATGTGGGTAGAGCAGAATGCCCCTCTGACAAAAAAATAAATAAATAAATTGTGAAATACCCCTGGCGTCGGTTGGACCCCCATCTTTGCAGTATACCCCTACCGGGTACCGTCCAGCTTTCCAAAATGCCCCCTCTAGTACTCGTCAACTTTTCCTAGGTGCTATTGCAAAAAAAGGCCAAGGCCCAAACCGCAAGAGGTCCAGATTGCAAAGTTGCACACCCGCCTGACAGGGCCACAACACAAACATTTCGGCCCAAAAGAGCATATTCCGCTCTACCCACATCTTTCAGGGGCATTTTGGCATATGTCTCAACTTACGAGGGCATTTTACTATTTTGCAAATTATCCCTTTTCTTCTTCTTTTTTTTTAATCAAACATCGCCGATGGACATGGGGGAGGTGCTGTCTGAACCCTTTTTAACATTACTTCCCACCAAGAGAATATCAGCTGCCAGGTCATCAGACACCATAAGAGGGGAGAGGTCCTTGACATAGGGCCTCGCTCCACCACTCTCCAAATGTGCAAAACGAGAGTGAATCTTCCCCTAGAACAAGCAAAGATTCATCGCCATGATTTTTGTCTTTTGTGCACTTCCGGAGTAGTGGAGCCACGCCCATAGTTCCGCCCAAAGCCACCAGCTTCCCTTGTTGCAATGACCAAGTGCCACGTCACCCAGAGCTGCAGCAAATCCTCTGGCTCTGTTCCTAAGCCGCGGGCCAGACAAAAAGGGGGTGCGCTAGGAGTATTGACATGAGGATGGCCCAACTGACTTTGACTTTTAGTTGACCCCCATTCAGCTGTTGGAATGGCCAAATGAACCCTCAGCCATAGGAGGTAGGAGGGTAGCTAGCTTTCTTGCCGTCCGGCAATCATCTAATAATAATAATACAAAATTTGAAAAGAAGCTGTGCTTTGTCCAAAGGTCCAGAGAGTAAAAATTTGTTAAGAGTGTTAAAAAAAAAAAAAAAAGAGTGAAAAAAAAAGAGTATAAAAAAAAAGAAGAAGGAAAAAAAAAGGTTCAGAGTCGCTTGAGAGATTACGCTCATCGGATTGCAGTTCAACACTTCATAGGTGTGTACCAACTGAGCTTGGGCCATTGGGTGCAATACCCTGTTTTCACCCAGACAGTGGGGGGCTAATAGGTAGGGGGGGGGGGGGGGGGGGGGGGCAGCTCGGCCACAAAAGAATCAAAAGGTTGGCCAGAGAATCTTTCTACTGATGCTCCCCACGGGCGAGGTCCCACTAGCAAAGAGGATTGGATTGAACACCGGACTCTGGATTTGTTTGTGGAGAGATGCAGAATGTCGAGATTGAACTGCTTTTCCGCATCACTGCTTAAAACACATCCAGATTCAGGATATTTATTCAACCCTCTTTGCTACAGTCTTCCACCGAATACAGCACACGGTCATTATGGCTGAATTTGGTCTATCCTTCAGTCTAAATTCAGCTATAATGACCGTACGTTGTATTCGGGGGAAGACTGTAGTGGGACCTCACACCAGAATGGAAAAGGAGCCGGAACCATGAGGCTCTGTTTTTTTGAAGAAAAGAAAAGAAAAGAAAAGAAAATGCATATATGCGTTGTATTCGAGTTCTCTAAAGATTCAGAGATTCGAATAGAACGCATACGCGTTGCATTCAAAAATGAGGACTGCTCCAGTAGAAGACATACGCATTGTATTCAAACACAAAGCAGCCTGTATGCATTCAAAAATGAGCGCTTCTCGAATAGAACGCATACGTGCGTTCTATTCAAACAGAAAGCAGCCCGCGCGTTGTATTCGTTTACAACGCATATCCGTTATGTTCGGGGGAAGAGGGTAGCAAAAGAAGATTGGATGGAACGCCTGAATTTGGACATCTTCGAGGCCAGGTGCAGAAAATCACGAATCGATGTGCCTTTCTTTATCTCTGCATAAAACACATCCGGATTCGGGTGCTTAATCCAATCAATCCTCTTTGCTACCGTCTTCCCCCGAACATAACGCACCCTGAAAATGAACGTATACAAGCCCTATTTCCGGGCCGATGCAGTCCAAATGAGGGTGCGTTGTGTTCGGGGGAAGACGGTAGTGATACTGCGCGCCTGCACAGTTTCTCCTGCATCTCCTACTTGCATTAAGTCGCTTAGGCCAACCTGCTCTTTATACAGATCACAGCCTCCAAAAAAAAAAAACATGGGCTTTAACTGCTTCTCCTAAGCCCTTAACCCCTTAACCCCTTAACCCCTTAGCCCCTCCTCCCCCCGCCCACAAACCCCGTCTTAAACCCCGTCTTCAAACCTCTCTCTCCAAACCTCTCTCTCTCTCTCTCTCTCTCTCTCTCTCCTGTCTCTTATACACATCTAGATGTGTATAAGAGACAGGAAGAGAAGGGGGAGAAGGAGGGAGAAGGAGGGAGAAGGAGGGAGAAGGGAGAGAAGAGAGAGAAGAGAGAGAAGGGAAGGAAAGGAGACAGGTAAGGAAGGGAAGCAAGGAAGAATGGGACGAAAGAAGGGGAAAAAGGCAGCAGGGAGAAAGAAGGAGAGGAGGAGGACAGGCGCGCGGGGGAGGGGGGGAGGGGGAAGAGGGGGGGGAAGTGGGGAAGAAGAGATGGCAAAAGGAGGCACGTTAAAAAAGGAAAAGGAATGGCAGAAGGAGGCACATGTAATAATGCTTATAAAAAAAGAAAAGAGAAGAAGAAGGAAGGAAAGACAAAAGGAGAAATAATTAGGAGGGGGGGGGGGGGGGGGGGGGGGGGGGGCAGAGGAGTGGCAGAGGGAAAAAAGGGGAGGGAGGGGCAAGGATGGAGATAAAGAAAGGGAGGGAAGGAGAAGGGAGCCAAGATACCTCCAAGGCCTCTTTTCTGTCCATGCACGAAAACAATCTTTCTACTTACTCCCTTTCTCTTCTTCTTTTCGTTTTTCACAGTTATTTTCCACTTTTAATTCTCTGTATTTTTAATTACTATATTCACAAGTTTTTGTTTTTAGTATTTTTTCTTCTTTCCTTCTTCTCACTTTTTTCACTTTTTTCACTTTTTTCACTTTCTTCTTCTTCTTCTTCTTCTTCTTCTTCTTCTTCTTCTTCTTCTTCTTCTTCTTTGTTCTGCTTCTTCTTCTTGAGGAATGTGCGCGTTTGAGCATCGGATATGTCCGCGTCGTGATGAACGTTCTGTTTTAATGTAGCGAGGTCGATCGGAGGTCAATCGCCACTCGTCCGATTGACCTCGGATATGTCCGGAATGTGCTACCTTTCAATTCAATTCAATTCTTCTTCTTCTCACCCAGTCCACTTAGCCGTTTGGTTGAGTGTTTGCGTCCTAACCGGGAGGGCGTGTGTTCGATTCTTGGGATCGGCACGTGAAGCGTAAGGATTTAATTCAATTCTTCTTCTTCCTTTCTTAATGTGCTACCTTTCAATTCAATTCAATTCAATTCTTCTTCTTCTTCTTCTTCTTCTTCTTCTTCTTCTTCTTCTTAATGGGTCACCTTTCAGTTCAATTCAATTCAATTCTTCTTCTTCTTCTTCTTTTTATTCTTAATGGGTTGCCTTTCAGTTCAATTCTTCTTCTTCTTCTTCTTCTTCTTCTTCTTCTTCTTCTTCTTCTTCTTCTTCTGCTGCTGCTGCTGCTGCTGCTGCTGCTGCTGCTTCGTTTCATCAAGGCGCCGGCAAATCACCATATCTCATAAAAGAGCAAATTCACCGACGCGTTGCCGGCTGGTTGCGCACCAGGCAGTCGGGATCGGACCCGAAAAGGACGAAGAACACGAAACTCAAGAAGAAGAAGAAGAAGAAGAAGAAGAAGAAGAAGAAGAGTGATAGCGATGGACAGCCGCCAACAACTGCTGCTCGTCGACGTTTCAAAGATGGAAGATGGTCACGAAGACGAAGTGATAGCGATGGAAGGGAGGACGCATCGTGCAATGTTGCCGCCACGTTCAAAACGGATTGCAAGAGGGAAGAGGGGATCAAACTGTTTACAACTTCTTTTCAGACTTTGTCTTTCACTGGTTATCGCAATCGTTGATTTTGCACTATTTACCGGCCGGTGATCGAGTATCCACCATTTGGTTCAAAACGGTTCGAACCGTTGATGCATTGATTAACACCCACTCGTCGGTCGCTCATGTGTTATCATGCTCTCTCTCTCTCTCTCTCTCTCTCTCTCTCTCTCTCTCTCTCTCTCTCTCTCTCTCTCTCTCTCTCTCTCTCTCTCTCTCTCTCTCTCTGTGTGTGTGTGTGTGTGTGTGTGTGTGTGTGTGCGTATATATATTGTCACACTGGAAATCAGAGCGTAGTCAAACAGAGCTGCCTACGGTAAACCGTAGTGGGCAGAGAGGGAGGGAGAAGGAGAAGAGGACAACAAACGAGGGGCTGTGACAAACTGTTCTCGTCGGAGTTAATCACCGACTCATATATATATATATGATTTGTTGTCATAAAGAACTGCTCGGTGAGCCGTAGACAGAGGGAGAAGAGGACACAAACAAGGGACAGTGACAGACAGAATCGTTTAAAAAATAAGACTGTAATAATACTGTAATAATAAAGTAATAAAAAACGGCTACGGCCTTGAGATATCATCATGCAACTTACCAGACCTAGGAATTCAGAATTGTACTGAGTTTGAACTCAGGTCCGCATTTTAACAGATCAGCGGTGTACCCACTTTCGTCGAAGTTTATATGTATTTTGTCGGCCATTAGACTGGATGAACAGGAATGGATGGAGGTCTAGATCCATTGATTAACATACAAATACGTACGTCAGCAAGCATTTTGTTTTTTTTTTTGGGTGTATGGGTCGGAGAAAGAATGCTCACCTGTAACCTTTGATGTTGTTCAGCGAATCGACGATGACGATTTTATCCTTTCCCACCACCGCACGATCTACCGCCGATCTCAACAGCCCTCTCACGTTCTTCTCGCACACCATGTCTTGGTACCCATCATTGCGATCCACGTGGAGCGAATGCTCACCGATCACTGACACGTGGAACGACCGCGCCCCGACGGCAATGCCTTCGTTCCCATTTCGCTCTGCGGATACGGCGCGCACCAGCAGATCCGCGACCGTCGTTTTGCCGCTGCAAGGTTGCCCACAGATAACGACGAGGGCCATCGCCCCCCACTTTTGGCGGGAAAACGTTCCTCCGTCAACGTGGCTTCCCGCCACTTTTGGCGGGAAAACGTTCTCCGTCAACGTGGCTTCCCGCCGTTAGCAATTGCACTGACGACAGAGCACAGCGGTCATGCCGCACACACGTCGCACGAGCCGCACAGACTCGCCGCCCTGGATCGCTGTGCCCAGTTCCACACCTGCTGTTCGGGGGCATCCGTGCCTAGCGCAATCTTCCGAATACAACGCCTACACGCTGTAATCAACGTTTAACGAAAAAACGAGCACCTCCTGTGGTACCCCTGAAAAGTTTCGGTCAATCGCTAACGAGGAGCCATGGAACACGCTCCTCGACAGCGTGGTGCTACCCTATGGCTGGACTGGAATGAGGCTTGGATCCCACATGGCGCTTTTAACAAAAAAAAATCGGAAAAGCCCCTCGAAAGGAGGGTCCTTGCCTTTCTGTCCGTAAAAAAAATTTTGGACTCCACAGGCCCGTCCTTCGAGGGGCTTTCGCAAAAATGCTGACGAAATATGTTGGTCCATTTGCGTCGGACCCAATCGCGCTGCCGTAAACGGAAAAAAAAAAAAAAAACTTTGTTTTTTTGGTGCTCGCAGCTTTTAGGGAACAGAGCAGGGGGCTGGCGGCTTTTGCGAAACAAGTGTCGTTTCGCGGTGGGTGTCGCGGCCTGGTCGACACGATGCACATAGTGAGTAGAAACAGGCAAAATTTGTTTCGGGTCCCGAAAGCCCCGGTGCATTGTGGGATCCGAAATTTTACCCAAAATTGCCTCACTAACAATAGTGGGATCCAAGCCTAAGAGTGGGTTACTGCCTTCTTACCCCGTAGGGGAAACGTAGTTCTATTTGAATGGCCTTCGAAAATCGGACTTTCAGAAATCCCTCTTGACTGAGGTCTTCGAAGACGACCTTGAGGAGGACCTCGATTTTTTTTTTCTTTTTTTCTTTTTTCCTTCTCCCACTGTTGGGAAATTAGGGAAAACTGGCAGTTTTCCCAAACTCCTGAAAATTCGGAGGCGGGGCTCGACGAGGGCTGCCATTGACACTGCCATTGACAAATCTGATCCATGGCAGTCGTTTCGTTTCGGCCATCTGAAAAGGTCGGAGGCCCACCCGAGGCCCGCTATTTTCTCACGCGGCAAAGGTACTAGTGGTTGGCCCAGCTATAGGCCACAGGCAATTCCCGTTACCGCGCCGGTAGTTGCGCGCTTCGGGGCACCGATCCACAATGGCTGGAAGCGCCAGCCAAAATGAAAACGAAACGGTGCCCGGCGGCTCGGCAAAACTTGGCGCGCAGGGGCTATCCCGGCTCGGTATCAATAGCTGGGCCAAGTACTGGTGGTTTAACCGAAACATCTGTGGCAACCTGCTATTGGAGGTGATACGAGCATCCTCCAATAGCAAGCCCCAATTTATAGATGGTTCCAATCTATTGGTGGGGAGCATCACCTGCTGGAAACCGGGTCCAGCGTCCCACTAACAAGATTGGAGACAACATACCTGGCGGAACAGCATTGATTGCCCTCTCACGAGGGGATTGACTGCCCGCCCAATTATCAGCCAGGTCACAGCATGTATGAAGATCTAGCCATGGGGAGGGTGACAAACTGTCCTCCAATCTCCCTAATCCTTCACAGTCATAACCGTGCAAAGCAAACCCTAGGCCCCCTCCATGCATAAGGCCGCTGCCCAGCTCCATGATTCTCATTTTTTGCCAGCGGAGGTCGTCTGCCTACCCTCCCTTATCCTAAGTTATTCACCCGGCAAAGATTATCCTCACGAGATTGTTTTTGTCAAATTTCTGGCAGAGGTTAGCAAAATTTGCGACACGTATCATTATTTTTATTATTATTATCATCACACACCTGCCATGCATACTCTTCCCCCTGCCATTTCAGCAACCAGAGTTCTGCCCATCCCTTATTGATCATCCTATCTCCTCCCCCTATCCACCACCCAAACGACAGACCTTCCTCTTGCTCCTCTCCATCGTGCCCCCCACCCAGTGGCAGCCACAAAATATGACAGCCGGGACCGGCAACAGGAAGGGAGCAGGGGGAAACCCTAGGTCAAAAAGAGACACCGGCAAGTGATATTTACGCAGGAGTGAAACAATCAAAACACATGCCAAACCCATCGAATCCACCCCCCCTCGTGGTCAACTGCCTGAGCCACCCCCATGATTGTACGACTCCGCAGCTCATTAGTATTAACCTCTGGGGGGGGATGGCATACCCCTGCGAAATAAAAAAAAACATGTCGTCGTCATAGTACGGTAAATCATCACACATGATATCATTGCCCGCATCAGCGTGCTGGGTAGATGACGAATCAATTGTAAAAAAAACTTTCAGAACAAGCGGGGAACCGTATCACCTACCTCCGCGGAAGCACCGTAATCAAACAATGATGACGATGCCTTTTGATCTTCCACAGGCTGTTGGTAGGACTAGGAAACAGATGTCAACAAAGCTTCTATAGCAAGCGTCTGGATCGCCGCTCCCACATCCGTCAAATCTTCATTATTCACTACAACAGACTGAGACTGACAGCCAAACGATACTGACACCATGTGATCGTCACCCAATTCATCACACGCATGAGCAAATAGCCGTTGTTGCTGGACACAGAGTGGACTAATTGGTGATGTCGCCGTTGTAGATGTTGTAATTGTCCATATTGCTCTTGTTGCCGTTGTTGATATTGTTGATGTTGTTGATGTTGTTGATGTTGGACCTCAAATTTTCTGTAGCTGGTCTGTTTGCATAAGGGCTATTCATTTCGATCCCCACAAAGACTCGGAAAACGTGGTAATGTGCACACCAAGCAAGAAGGCAAGGTTGGACAGAGAAATTCCTTTCCAACAGTGCAAGAGCAGTACTTGGGGGAACCGCCAGGGGTAGTTTTAGTAGACAAACCCTCCTCGAAGAAGAGGGGTTACAAACCCAAATCAACAAAAAAATCATTGTTGCTTGTTAACCCTATGGTCAACCTCAACAAATCTGACAGAGTCCAGGGAAAAGTCCCGAATTTTTTAGCACCTATCATTGTTCAGTTTCTCCCCAAGGCACCATATTCTTAACAAAGCGGGACAAAATGACTCCTTGTCCTTGCCAAGAATTGACGTGGCATCGACTCCCTTGCGAGAAACAATGGTTAATACGGTGAATGAACGAGTTCTGCACTTCCTTGGTTCTTGCGCAGTTCTACCGGAACCCAAGATGGGTAGACACGTGTCAGTCTTCCCCGACGGCCGAAAAATAATACTACATACTGCCTTCCTTGCAACACAGGCCATCTCAGCATCATTCGCAAATTAGAGTGTTTGGGGTTTGTACTAGATACCTCGATTGAACTTAATTCAGTGCAGGAGAGAATCCTGCTCACCCATTAGACTTCCTACTGGGCTCTCGGTCGTAGACGTGGCAGACTGGTTATCCACTTCTGATATTTGCGAACTCCTATCCTCATAAATGTTCCATAATCTGGTGGCACAGGGAGGGTTCCCTCTTGGCCCACAGGGCAAGGAACAGACTGCTATAAGAGGTTAATTTATTCCTTTTCTAGCATGTCATCCCGCATCCAAATTCAAAGCGACACGGGCCACCTAGAAGGTTCTGCCGAATAAAGTGCGCCTCCTCACCTGGAATGTGAAAGGCTTAGGAGACACATCCAATAGAGACAAATGGGCACGACTCCGCTCGTGGTTCCACTCGAACAACGCTCAGATCATCGATCTTCAATAAACTAAACTTTGCGCTGAGAAGATTCGAGAGATTCAAGGTTGGTGGGAGGGTCCCCAGTTTTGGGACCCATCGGATAGAACGAAGGGGGGGTTCGCTTTGCTAATCCAGAGGGTCGTTGGGTCTGGGTCAAGTTAGATCTAGACTCTGAAGAATGGGCAATTATGACTGTGTACGTCCCTGCTACCTACACAAAGCGGGTTTCTTTTTTGGCAAATTTGCCGGCCTTGTTGCCGGACGTGGAAAACCTTGCTATGCTAGGGGATTGGGATACAACCCTGAACCTAAGTTTAGAGTCCCCAAATCCCACAACCCTGCGAATGGACAGCACGCTTCTCTTGTCCTTGCTAGATTCTCAATCTTTCACAAATGCTTCCAGGGTTATGAACCCAAACAATCATGGCTATAAGTGGTATGGTCCCAAACCCTCAGAAATCACCCCTCAACCTCGCTGTAGGCTGGAGTTCATAGCCATTAGGGGGAGTTTTGGGAAATGTGTTTTTTTGCGAATTATTTTATTTCTGATATTTCTTATCACTATCCCGTAGTTGTGGATATTGTGGCTAAGGAGCTGATTCAAAAAGCAAGGCCCCCATTTAGGCTGAATGTGGCGAATTTAAAGGACAAAGGTATTCCTGATTGGGTAAGTTACCAGATGTCAGGATGACCAGCCGCACAAATTCTGTTTGCCTCAGAGGATCAGTGAGCTGAAGTGGGTTTGTGGATCGTCAGGGAAGCACTGATAGTTTTTTCACGAATGAAAGTCGCCAAAAAGCAATGGAACGAGATGAAGTGTCTACAGGAAGTGGAACTGGCGGAGTTAAAAATAGGTCAAGACCCCTTCACAGACTACTTCTGGTCAGAAAAAAGAAAGCAAGCCCTATGTCATATCGAATCCTTAAATCTGCAGTAACAAACGGATTGGTTGGAGTGGTCAAAGCTCGGGGGAATCATGGGCTACGAAAGGATGATGAAACGTTTTAATTAGAGAATTAATCCACCCTTTTCTATCGGGGACGGCGACAGTGTCTGACACAATCAACATGTGCGGCTATGCCCTATAATACTTTAGGGATATAGTGGTCACAAAACGCCCTTTTGATACTTTTTCCTCGGACCTCTCATTAAACTCCAATTTTTGGGACATAACTAATAATGTTATTAATGATGATACTAGATCAACTTGAATGATAGAGCCCCCCCTGACAGTAGGTGAACTCCACAGGGCTGCCAAGCAGATGGCTCTGGGCAAATGCCCTGGCCTAGATGACCTTCCAGTAGAATTGTTCCTTAGCTATTGGGATGGCTTTGACCCATTCCTTTACCAAATCTG